TGCCTCTCTCCTCTGTCCATTCAACCTGTCTGACTTTGACCAAGTCAGTCACTCCCCTTCGATTGATGGAGATCTATGCAACATAACGGTGCAGGGTCTCTCAAAGACAGCTTCAGAATCAGCATACAATCCATGCGAATAACGACTGCAACTGACGATGACCACAGATCCCGGTGCTTGCTTCTGTGCAGAGTGTCGATGATATCCAGTGTTGGGGTGAGTGGGGGGACAAACCTCAAAAGAGCAGCGTGTGTGTGCGCACTATGATCACGCGTGATGAAACTCACTACTAATTGGTCATCAACCACCATGGAGAATCTGCTTCCTCCGCCGGTTCTCATAGGAAAGTTGGGATAGCTACGATTGTCTTTCGATCCAGCTAACCTTGCTAGATATGCCATTTAATATGTGCGACCTGTCCGACAAGCTCGAAGAACGTTAGAGGATACTACAAACTTAACGCAAATCAATTCAAGACGAAAGACACCCCTGATAATCTATCTCCCTCCATCCCCGTTCATCAACGGAGCGGGATACCGCGGCCCATACGCCGCACTCTCCAACCGCTCCATCTCAATGGTATTCCGTCTCTCCGTCTCACGACTGGGCAAGATTCCTGCGTGCTCGACCCTGTCCGCACAGACTCCGCCTTTCCATCCACCATGCTACCCTGGAGACTCTTCTCATGACCAACCGCGGCAGCAGCAGCAGCAGCAACCCGACACCTCCGATGCGTCGCGACGATGGCCGTCCCCGCCCCGACGACCCACCACGAGAACAAGACGGGCAACGCGGTGCGCAACTGATTCTCGCACCCGTCGCTCCAGATCTGCACGAGCACCTGGTACAGCTCGTGCGCGGGGAGGGCGTACGCCCACCGGAAGAAGCCCGGTTGCATCTCGAAGGGGCTGACCGTGCTGGCGACGTTGAGGACCGCCCAGGTCAGGATGCAGAAGGGCATGAACTGCATGGGCACGTAGGTGGTCAGCACGTCCACGATCTGGAAGTTGATGTGCATGTACAGCCAGACGGCCATCCAGCAGAGCACGAACTGGCCGGCCGAGACGGCCCACGACTCGCGGAAGGCCCAGATGTAGCCGACCATGCACAGGGCGCCCACGAAGGTATAGCATCCGGAGATGCACAGCCGCAGCAGGCCGTTGGCGCGCGGCGTCAGCCGCGTGAACAGCTGGAACTGCGCCGACAGCCCGTTCAGCGCCATCATGAAGAAGAATTGCTGGATGATCGGCATGATGATCGAGACGGTGTTGTACAGGACCCGCCCGCCTTGCGCGGTGGCTTTGATGTTGTGTTCCGTGGCGGTGATGGGGTCGAGGAAGGCGGTTAGTGCGGTTGAGGTTGATGCTGATGAGGCGAGGAGGGTTTGGAGGACGTTGGACGCGTTGCGCGCGTAGTACGTCGACCGCGTCGCTTCGATCAGCGTGAGGAGGTTGGAGTAGATGGCGCTTTGCGCGAACGCTGGGTACCGTGCTCCGTTCCAGACGTAGGTCAGCGCGGTGGATGCGGTGGTGTTGCTGCTGCTGCCGCTGTCTGCGTCCCCAGACAGTGATGCTGCCAGCCGCGCGGTGGCCCCCGCGTTGGTGTAGATGGCCCCCCAGTAGTCCCCGTGGCAGACGGCGTTGTGCACATCATGACTAGATGAAAAGTCCTCAGTGGATGCCTGGTGTAAAGTAGGGAAGGTCGCGCCCTGCAGGGCTCCGTATGCGTCGAGGACGGATTGGCCGATGATGTCCCCGTCGAAATCGACGTACAGGAGCTTCAATTGATGGATTCGTTCGCTGTCTCGATACTGCGTCCCGTACAGGTAGGACATATTGCCCAGGAAGAGAAGCTGTAGAAGCAGAAAGCTCATCCCCACTGCTCCAAGGAAGCTCTTCCAGTGCTGTCTCCAGTCATCCTGGTGAGAGGACCGCGCCGGCGGAGTGCTCATGTTCGTATCTTCAGGTTGCAGGCTGTCCAGCCTTCAGCACCAAGCTGTTCCTTGCTAGGTTCAAAGCACAGGAGCTCTTCACGCTGAGAGATCATGGGCACTATTTATTCCATTTCAGCCAAGCTCGTTAGGGGGGCGACCCTGATGGCTATAGTTCGGTTTCGGGAGGCGGAGACCCACCGATACCCGATGACTAAGCGGAAAGGCCGTTGCAGAGACCGAGCAGGCAAAGTCAGAGCCTCAACCTTAACCTTTTTATAGATGCAGATCAGCCTGTGATTGGAAGGAAAGTCCCAAGGAGCGGGCAGCCTATTCCCTGATCTAGTCCGGTATAATGAGCGAGATCCCGGGAAAATATCGTGGACCCCTATCTACAGGAGTGTTTTGGCACTGTTAAGTCAATGCGGAGCGGTGGCAGACTAACCCAGCTACCAGGCAGGTCTCACCGCTTTCTGCTTCGAAAGGAGCTATGAAAGAGACCAAATGTTTCCTGTTCGTTCCAACACGCAGACTGTAAGATACCTGGCAGTGGTGCAGTATCATCGCTTTGAGCGGCATAACACTCAAGCTGAGACCTCGCAACGCCGATGTCGATTTTCATGAGGAACAGCGAGGAACAGCCCCGGAGAAGTCAAATGGAGCACTCACAAGTCGTGGCACTCATACGCCAACATCAGGAGGATAATAAAACTTCTGAGAGGGGAACAGGTCCTGATGAAGGAAGGTTAAGCCATATCTATACTGGCGCTGGAACACAAATGATCGCATCAGATAGTCTTCTTATTCATCGAACTCTTATATACATCATAAGGGCAATAACACATGGAATCTTTAGCTGTGACTAAAATTCTTGTCTAGGTCTAATGCTCTCCAACGGGTATAAGCTGTGTGGTGGCAACATCAAAGCAAGAAAAGGTTGGGGCAATATGCTATCCAAGATGTGCGTCAGGTGATCTGTGGCAGGCCTCACGGTTGAGGATTGCTCGGGCAACCTCCAACAGGCGTGTCGACTAGATGGGTATGTCGAGGATAAGATCCTCCATGCTAAGTTCCTGCTGGACATGACGAGGCGATGCTGATTTGCACCGTGTCATAGTCGGGACGGCATGCGTCGGGTTCCCGGCACCGGGAAAAGTCACTGCCGATTCACTGACTGGTATGGGTTGGATATGCGACAAAAACGGAGGATGTGTGTATAGTGTGTCAGTATGGGGAGCGAGAAGGGTAGGTGGAAGGCTGAACAACTGTCCGACTTTACAGACCAGTCTTGCCCAAAAGGCTGGCCAGCTGGTCGACATCCTTGTCTTCTTTTTGGGCGACCTTCTCGTTCTCAGCGAGATCGGTGTCCTTGAGAAGCTTCTCGGCCTTCTCCTCTTCTTCCTCCTCCTCCTCTTCTTCTTCCTCTTCGCTCTCCTCCTCCTCAAGCTCGTCCAGCTCGTCAACGCCCCACATCTCCTCAGGGTCCTCATCGGAGCCGTGCTCTTCCTTGCGAGCCTCAAGGATCTCGCGCAGCTCGGTCACATTGTCATCATCCTCCATGAAGATGTTACCATTCAGCTCGATACGGCGCAGAGCGGGGAGACCAGACTTGGTCGCAAAGAGAAACTGCTTGACACCCTCGGCCGTGATTTCGTTGTACTGAAGACGCAACGTCTGCACCTTCTCGTTCTTACCCTCAGCCAGGGCCTGGGCAACCTTGACACCACCACGGCCCGAGAGCAAGCAGTCGCTGACACCCAGCTCGCGAAGAGAGGCCCAGTTGCCCAGAACACCGGCCAGAGCGGTCGAACCCATAACGGTGAAAGTGTTGTCCTGGAGATCGACGACCTCCAGAGCCTTACAGTGGCTAAGGCCCTCCTTCAGCAGCAAAGAGATACCTTCTTGGCGGATACCGTTCTGGGTCATCTTCACGGAGCGCATGCCGGCAGCGTGCACCTCGTAGGCACGTGCCCAGGCAGCCATACTGCCGTTCTCCAGGCGGTTCCGACCGCAGACAATGCTCTCCAGGAGAGACACTTCCTTGCCAGCCTTGCGAGCCTCCTCCTTGCGCTCAGCGAGTTCAGTGAGGGCCTTGGCGATGTTGGAGCCGGCCTCGGGGCCCATGCCGTTGTTGTTCAGGATCAGGTGGCGGAGGGGCACGTGGCGGGCGAGGAAGTCGACGAGGGGCTTCTGAGTGTTGGCACCGAAGGCATTGTCGGACAGGTTAACGGTGTGGAGGGTGGAGATCTCAAGAAGGGCGTTCAGGAGGAAGGTCAGAGCGTCGGGGATCTCGCTCAGCAGACGCGAGGTGAAGATGTCGGCCAGCTCGGCGACCTCGAGGCTCTTTTGGGTAGACAGCACGGCGGCGAGGCGCTCGCAGGCGGGGACCCCCAAAGTGTTTCCTCCAAAGCGGATCTCAGTGTAGTCGGTGCTCTCCAACAAGGGCTTGATATGAGTCTCAATGTCCTCAGCGGTGTCTAGCTTGAGGCCTTTGCCCTCAAGCGAAAAGACCTTAGGAGGGGCCATGGCGGGGTAAATTAAATTTCAGGGGGGGGAAGGGGTTTGAAAAAAGGTCAACAGTCGAAGTATGGATGGAAAGGATCGTCAGAAAGACAGACGTAAGGAAGCGCAAGATCACTGTCCAAAACAGTAACTAAGAAAGTTTAAGAGAAAAAAAGGAGGAATGAATGTGATGAAAGTTGTTGTGGTGTGTGTGGTGTGGGAGGATAATGAAATTGAAGGAGAAGAAGGGGAAAGAACAAAAGAATGCAGAATGCAGTGAGTGCAGTGTGATGATGCGCCCGCCCGCCCGCCGCCGCCGCCTTTTTCCCCCTGCTTCCCTGACAACCGGCTCGTTGCCCGCAAACTTTCCCCGATCGCCGCTCCGGCAAGTCCTACCGACCAACAACGCCATTCCGGACCATCGCATCATCTTCTTCAACTATCACATTAATCAGCAGTTCTCGGTCTGCTCAATGAGCTAGTTAACCTCATCCTTGCCAATTGTCCGACTACCCACTCACTCACTCTTTGCTCCATTGCATTCTTTCAATCCCTCCTCAATTCAGTCGCTCATTCTGCGCCCATAGATCCAGAACCTTCATCCTTCAGTATGTCCTGGTTGTTCGGTTCCTCCAAGCGTAAGTCAATTCCCGCGATTATCCGCAGTCCTTCAATCTTCAATCTTCAATCTTCAATCTTCAATCTTCCCTTTTCTACAGCTCCTCACCCATACATAACATACAATTGAAACTAACAAAGACCTCCGTTTGCGCAAAAACAGCCGAGAGCGCTCCCGCCGCCGCAGCTCCCACAGAATCCGCCCCGGCAGAGAAGCCCAAGGTCAGTCGCAGCGTCCGCTCTATCGAAAAACCACCGCACCTTTCTCCTCGAATGCAGACCAAAACCGAGAATCTAACCCCCACAAACAGCCCTGCTGCGTCTGCAAGACCGAAAAGACCGCCCGCGACGACTGCATGCTCTTCTCCAAGACCGACGATCCTACCCAGGAATGCAAGTCGATGATTGATCAGTACAAGGCCTGCATGGCCGGGTATGGATTCAAGGTCTAGAACCCCGCCGTGGCTGTTGCTCAGGGAGTGGGTTCTGCTGGCATGTTTCTGGGTTGGGGAGAACTTCCTCAACTCAGCGATTGTATAACAAATGGGTTGTTTTAATTGTTTTTTTTTTTTTTTTTTTTTTTGGTACAGTACAGTGCAGTACATAGAAGAAGAAAGAGCGCATGCAACATATCCTGGAGTTTGGGTTGTGGGAGGCTTTTTTTTCTCCGAGGGGTTTTGATTTGCTATGGTCTTGTATATTAGATCGATTTTGTTTTCTTTGTTCGAATGTTTTTCTTTGGGCGGTAGTTTTATTATCATCTCCCCTTTTGCAGTACATGTTTTGTTGTGGTTGTGCTAGTGACTTGTGAAGGTTGTAATGTCTGCCTTGAAAGAGTAGCAAGTGAAATCAAATCATTGCTCTTTGTTTGGTGTACATACAATAAGTGGCATGGACGATGTTTAGTGTCACAGAGCCATGCACATGGCAAGCCCACGGAAATGAAACTGGGGTATCACTATAGAATGACAAATGGTATATGGAAGGCACCGCCTCTATGGGTCGACCTTAGATCACTGATTCTTCTTCTGAGTCTCCTCCGCTACCTTCTGGTCAATCTTCCGGCACTGCTGGATCAACTTCCACACACACCATAGATAGGCCAGTCCAAAACCGCCGGCTCCGATGAGCACGTTCAGTACCACCCACAGGTCGGGTTTGTCCGAGGGAGGAGGCACGAAAGCTTCCACGACATGCCATGCGATCATGGCAAGGTAGAAGCAGATGTGCACTAGTTTGGTGAGCACATGAGGCTCCGCACTGTCCTCGGATGAATCCCGGCTACGATAGGCCTCGAGCGAGGTTGGCGGCAGGCCCATCAGATAGGCCCAGAGCAGGGTCATGACGAAATAGGGCACGCGGAGCTCGTCGCGCTTGAGCAGAGGGTACATGGTCCACGTGCCGAGAATGTTGGCCCATCCAACCCACGCCCGCGTTTCCTTGCTGAGACCCCCGTCTCCAGCCAGGAGCAGTGTCATCGGGAGCAAGGGAAGCAGCACGCTCTTCTCATGCACCTGGAAGGAGAACAAGAAGAAGCCCCAGGCAACACTTGAGAGTGCGGGGAGCAGAAGTGATGCGCGCGGATGGCGGAAGATAAGGATGCAGGGGATCAAGATCGAACCCAAGGTGGCGCCAAGGGACATGCGCTGAAGGAGACTGGCTTCAAAACGATGAAGCTTGTAGAACGTATGGACAGCGCACCAAGCATTTGCGACCTTGTCCTCGAACAGACCCCGGGCAAACGGGAACACACGATGAATGATCTGCGTTAATTGGAAAGCGACTGCGTAGAGCACGGAATGCTTATCGAGATCGATCGGGAGCTGCTGCAGAAGAGGAGGCTGCGGAGCCGAAGCCAGGATCTCTCGTGCCTCTGCACCGATCGCGCCGATCACCAAGGGGCCGAAGAGAACCGCAAATGCCACGAGTGTTACAAGCGCAATGCAAAGAAGGCGGAGAATTCGGATTTTCGGGAAAATGCACACGCCCAAGAGGAAGGCGAACAAGACGGGGGCATAATACAGGGCCATTTGCTTGAAGCCGAGGGCGCCCACGAAGAAGATGCAAGCCCAGAGCATGCGTCCCGCCAGGATGGCATCCAAGCTCGCAACGACGAGCCCCAGCATCACCGTGTTGTACTGGAAATGACCATGGTCGATGAGAATAGTCGCAGGTTGAAGTAGAATTGCGACAAGCGCAATCGAAGCAGACCAGACAGGCACATTCTGCATCCGAGTGTAGCGGCGCAGGAAGTTGACCACGGCCGGGATGAAGACAAGATACTCGGAAGCCACTACCGTACCGCGCATGAAGACCTTCAAAAGAGGATCTTCAAGCCCGCGAGACTTATCAAGAGCGAACCAGCTCGGGTCAATGGCAGTTCCACTATATAAAGTTAGTCACAGAGAAGGTGATTTTGAACCTCCAGCCACTTACATTTTCCCCAGGAGCCAGCTGTGATATGCCGTCAGAGGAGGATAGTCCAGTCCCCAGTATTGTAGGTCATACAGATACCACTTTGCCATGGGCAAATGAGTGGTAATTTCCATCCAATGTCGCTGTGCCTCGAAGTCACCGTGCATCGGGGGGACCTGGAAGCCTTGTCGCCATTAGTCTTCGGGATTAATGTGTTTGAGACGCTCATGCGACGTACCAGAATACCCCCATAGACCAACTGCCCAACGGAATAGGCCGACAGCCATCAGAACAAGAGGGAGAACAAGCCATTGAGAAACACCTGCCCGAGCGGACCACAGGAATGAAACCAGAGGAAAGGCCGGAGACGACTTGCCGCCTGACTCGGCAATGAGAGAGTCGTTGGACCCCGTGTATGACGAGGGGAACTTTCTCTTCTTCCGCGGGCGATAAGAGGATGGAGGAGCCATTGCCGCGATCTTAGACGAGAGTGAGTCTATAAGTATACCATTGACCCGATGCAATCCGTCTGTGTTGGAATGCAAGTGCAATGACGGTGCACGCAGAGAGGGAAGAACAAGGCCAGGAGTAGGTAGAACTGCAGTAGTCGGGATGGTACGTGGTACAGACGGGAGTGGACCAGGTCCGGGGAATGACACTCTGTTGCTTCAACAAGGGCGGTGGGCGGATCTAGGAATTACCTCCGTACTCAGTAGGTACTGTAGCTCGCTACCTTGGCAATTTTACAGAGACGGTAGGAAACTGGCTTGTTTTTGATTCAAACCACCAGAAGCTGTCAATTTCCATGAAGCTGAGCAGACTGATTGAGCTCTTTTTGTAATATTGCAAGGGATCACCAAATCACCAATTATCTTGTATCTTGTATCCCTTTGTTGTCTGTGTCTGACAAGGGCCGAGGCCAACAGGCGCTGGAGCAAGGCGCGCTTAGTCAGCGATGCATGCGGTGTGGCTGGTGGGTCCGAGTACCTCGACTAAGACCAGGAGCGCAGGCGGTAGCCCCTGTTGATTTTTTCTGCCTGTCTCCAGTTTTGCGACTAGTCGAATTTTTTTTCCCCCGGCCGCCTTATCGGAGCTCCCAGCAGTAGAAATTTTCTTCTTTTTCTTCTCCTCCCCCCTTCACTCTTCATCCTCTCACTTCTCTTCATCCCTTTTATCATTATCTTCATTCCTCTTTTGAGATTCAAACAACCGTTTGACTCTCCTCCTTTTACTTCTTGACTGACTCAGCTGTATCTTACTAGGTACACCGTAACAGACACCCTGTGGGCTTTTTACCTTGAGGGCTGTGGGTTGTAACATACTACGTTCTATTCTGTGGGATCTGTTGGATACTTCCGTGGGTTTCATATCATAGACAGTAGCGTTTCTCCTGTCTTACTCGTGTGGGCTTGAACACTGTCAGTTGTGGGTTACCTGTGGGTATTTGCGAAAGCAATCAGTGGGCTGTTCTTATCTCAAATCGGGTGATTTGTGGGACTCAAGAAAATTTTGCCGCACAAGAAGTTTCTTTGTGATCATTTTTATCTGGTATGTCTCCACCTGGGCTCTCATATATCGACCCATCCGCCTTCCTCACCTCTTCCCACTAACCAACCATTCTTTCTATCTCCAGATTCAAAATGTCTAAGACCAAGTCCGTTTCCAAGAAGGGTGAGAAGCCCGTTGACAAGGCCTTGAGCAAGGTCAAGGATGCCGGTGTGAGCAAGGCTGCTCAGTCCCCCAAGTCCAAGAGCAAGCAGATTGCCAAGGCTGTTGTGACCAAGGAGAAGAAGTCTTCCAAGAAGAAGAAGGAGCCTACTCCCTCTGAGTCTTCCGACTCCGAGTCCGACAGCGATGAGGAGATGGACTCCGACTCTAGCTCTAGCAGCGAGAGTGAGGATGAGAAGCCCGCTAAGAAGGAGACCAAGAAGGCTGCTAAGAAGGTCGAGTCCGAGTCCGACTCTGACTCTGACAGCGATGAGGACATGAAGGATGCCTCCAGCAGCGAGAGCGAGAGCGAGAGCGAGGATGAGAAGCCTGCCAAGAAGGAGACCAAGAAGGTTGCTAAGAAGGAGGAGTCCAGCGACTCTGAGTCTTCCGAGTCTGAGGATTCTGACTCCGAGTCCGAGTCCGAGAAGGAGGCCCCTAAGAAGGCCGAGAAGAAGGTTGAGTCCGAGTCTGACTCTGACTCTTCCTCTTCCGAGGACGAGGCCCCCAAGAAGGCCACCAAGGAGTCCAGCGACAGCGACAGCGACTCTGACTCCGAGTCTGAGGACGAGAAGAAGGCTGAGAAGGTTCGCATCACCCATCAATCGATCTTGACAAGCATCTCATGCTAACGTTACGTAGGAGTCTTCCGACTCTGATTCTTCCGATTCCGACTCCTCCGACTCTGAGTCCGAGGAGAGCGACGAGTCTCCCAAGGAGTCCAAGAAGCGCAAGGCTGAGGACGAGAGCGCCGCTACCCCCAAGAAGACCAAGGTCGAGGAGCCCGCCGAGGGTGCCTCTGCCAACCTCTTCGTCGGCAACCTGTCCTGGAACGTCGATGAGGAGTGGCTCCAGCGCGAGTTCGAGGGCTTCGGTGAGCTTTCTGGCTGCCGCATCATGACTGAGCGTGAGACTGGCCGCTCTCGCGGGTAAGCATCCCATTCCACCTTTGGTATTTGGGTCTTCGCTAATCATGTAATCTAGTTTCGGTTACGTTGAGTTCACCAACGCTGCTGATGCTGCTAAGGCCTACGAGGCCAAGAAGGGCGCTGAGATTGATGGCCGTACCATCAACCTCGACTATGCCACCGGCCGTCCCGCCAACAACCAGGGTGCTCCCCGCGACCGTGCCGAGAACCGTGCCCGCAACTTCGGCGACCAGGCCAGCCCTGAGAGCGACACCCTGTTCATCGGTAACCTTCCCTTCAGTGCCAGCGAGGACTCCGTTGGTGAGCTCTTCGGCGCTTCGGGTACCATTGTCGGCATCCGTCTGCCCACTGACCCTGAGTCTGGCCGCCCCAAGGGCTTCGGCTACGTTCAGTTCTCTTCCGTTGATGAGGCTCGCACGGCCTACAACGAGCTCAACGGAGCCGAGCTTGAGGGTCGTCCCGTCCGTCTGGACTACAGCACTCCCCGTCAGAACAACAACGGCGGTGGCCGTGGTGGTGGTCGTGGCGGCTTCAGTGGCCGCGGCGGCGGTGGTGGCTTCGGTGGCCGTGGCGGCGGTGGCCGTGGTGGTGGTCGCGGTGGCCGTGGCGGTGGCCGTGGCGGTTTCGGCGGTCGCGGTGGTGGTGCCGGTGGCTTCAACAAGGGCAAGGGCTCTATCCCCGAGTACAAGGGAACTAAGGTTACCTTCTAAGTGCCTGCGTAGGTGTATCTTTGTCAAGCCTTGACCGGTATTGTCTGGGTTTTCTTTTTTTTTTTCCTTTTCTTTTCACGGAGGATGTTTTAAAAGTTCTTGCTGCATTTCCTTACTTTTTCAGGATAACCCCCTCGGTAACATAGTTTGTGTGATATCTAGGATAGAACAATTTAATGAATGGCCATGACCAAAATGAATCCTTGTTGCTCAATTCTTCCAGTTGTTGTTTGTTTGCTACGAAATCCACTTTGCCGTGTTGTACCGTGGTTGCGCATGAGGGTGGTCTTTGTCTGATAGAGAGCTGGTAGGCGGCAGGGAGGGAACCCCTCCGAGGTCGGCTTTGTCTCCGTCGCGCGACCTTGAACTGTCCAACTGCAGCAAGCTTCGATTGCACCACCACTCGGTTGTTGCCAACTCTTCTGGCTGGCCGGGCTGCATCGTGGATCAGGCAGATCTGCTGCAATGATGGGCCTATCAAAGCGGGCCAGTCACGGTGCGCGGTCGGATGATCAATCACAGTATGCGGCCTCGTGTTCCCCTCCCCGCCCCTCCAGGCTCCATTCTCCATTCTTCATATCCCAGTACTTCCAGTTGTAGTGCTGATGCTGACTGACTGTTTGCGAAGGTTGAATGGGTTGACTATTTGGCTGTTTTCCTCCTCCTCCTCCCTCCCTCCCTCTCTTTACTCACTCTCCTTTCCTTCCCTTCCCATGCTTGTTTGCAATTCCTCTCCTCGTTCCTCTTCATTCACAGACTTGCGCAAGTCGTGTGTTTCTTCTCGTCATTCTTATTTCTTGTCTTTTTGATTCCTTGCAACCTGTGTCACGGGTGATCGTTGGAGTGTCTAGTCCCACATTTGATAAGATCAACTCTATATCAACCACTCCACCCACTCCATCACTCCCTCCCTCCATCCATTCAATCCATTCACTCCCTCCATCCACTACTTACTCATACGGTGCTGCATTAACCCCGCGCTTTGGGACTGACCGCTCCCTCTCATCGCTGTCCATCACTGGTCGGTCCGCCTGCCGTCCCCGTGGCCTGAGGATCACCCGTGGATCTCGCTTCCAGTCCTTCCATCCCTCCATCCCATCCCAACATCCCTCTCCTCTTTCTCCTCTTCCCTCCTGTTAAATCATCATTTCCTTAGTTCTTCTTCTCAACGTCTCACTCTTTCTTTCTCTTCCTTTTTCCTTTCCTTATCTCTCACATCCTCCCCTCCTTCCTCCTTTTCTTTTTTATTCCTCCATATATCATTCACCTTGCCTCTGGCAGCCAGTCTGGACCTTGTCTGGTTCCTCGCTACTGCCTCTCCTTTTCTCCCTATTACATCTTCCATCATGCAACCAAATCACTATGACTTGCTGGGTCAGGTGCAACATGAAGACCCTCGATTAACCGGTCGACTGACGCGAGACCTTCATCAGTCGGCGCGCGATCATCTACTTCCTCATCAGTCACGTTCTCCCGCTGCCCGCGACCCCACGAGATCAGAAGGTACGTCATCGCCTCACAGCCTCCCCAGATATCTACTCTGCCCCTGCATACTCGGCAAAGACCTTGGTATCCCTATGTTCAACTTCAGTTTGCGCCACTTAGATGTATATTCAGTATTATCATTATCATGTACTCACTTCGTTACTATATAGATTCCTGGATCGAGGTCTCGTCTCAGCCGTCATCCTCATCCCTCTCCTCCGCAGGCACCAACGACGATATCATCACAACCGGTCTCCGTGTCCAGCAGCAAGATCCCGGTCGGTATCATCGAAGTCGACGACGACGGCTACAACAACTTGCAGCCATCACCACAGCTCAAGTAGACTACTCATCCCGCGAACACAGTAGCAGTCAAGATGAATATGAGGAAAGCGAGAGTGAATCCGATCAAGTGCTCAGCAGCTCTGAAGATATGACTCGCCCACCCGAGAGACCGCACCCATCTCTGGTACCCACAGGCCCATCCCCACTGCCATCCGATGTCCCTACAGATGAGGATGACGACGATAACTCCACCGCGCTAGGCATGCGCATCAGCTCATCTCCATTTGTTCCTCAGCCAAATGTCTTTTCTCATCCGCCGGCATCCCAGGACCCGTCATGGACCAGACCTATGGAAAGGCGGCACCAGGCGGAACCCAGTGAGGTGTCGAATTCCAGTCGACGGACAGCCATCAGAGCCCGGCGGGATTCACAAGCCAGCACCCGCTCTGTGCGCAGGTCATCCAACCAGCACAGTCCATACAACATGATCTCTCCATCCCACCACGCCGATCACGATGCTGCTCTCCGGGCCAGTCTTTCCACATTACTTTCCTGCGCTGCGGCCGCTCGAGGCCTCCCCAAGTCAGATACGCAGCCAGTCCAGCCAGGTCCCTCGCGAGCGCCGGCGCCGTCATCTTTCCGCCTGGTATCGGAATCGGTTGCGATGGGGGATATTTGCGAGGAAGAAATGGCAGGGGCAAATCCCACCGCAACAGCAGCAGCCCGGTCCCCTCGCTCAGGACTATCTCCTCTGCCATACTCTCCGCGGAGCGTTCCGCAAGCACCCCCACGAGCCAAAAGACGGTCAAGTCCATCCAAGGAGCGAAGTCATTCAGCCAAGAAGACTCGGCGAGGTAGCACCGTGGAAACCGTTCCCACAGCTAGCCCGACGGTCATGACCTGGGTGATCAGTGCGGGGGTTGTCGTGCTGTTCTCCGCCATCAGCTTCTCAGCGGGTTACGTACTGGGCCGCGAAGTTGGCCGACTTGAAGCTACCACTGGAATTGGAGCAATGGGCGACGGATCAGGAGGTAGAGTAGCCACCGGCTGCGGTCAAGAAGCAGTCAAGGGCAGTCTGAAACGACTCCGCTGGGGAACAGGAACTTCCGCCTCAGGCATCATTGCATGATTTACACGTGCATATTGGAAAATCTGAATATATGCTTCATGACGATGACGGGCGATGGTAATATTTGGTTAATGGACGGTGGAATGCACACTTTTGTTTTTCTCTGTCCCCCTTGGGTCTGATTCTCATCTCATCACGGTCTATATGTTGGAATGTACGGGTACGAGAGAAAAAGTTGCCCCAAGTTGAAATTCAGGTGTGGATGTTGTGATGACTTGAGGAGTTTTGGGTGTTATCGGATATCTTTCTACTGTTTATACCCCCCGCAAATTCCCTCTCTTGGATAATAACATGACTTATTATATGACTGAACTATTGAACAAAGATAAAAGAGGAAGGACGAAAAGATGCTAGATGGAAGAAGATAACCCAGCTATCCGGCCATCGATAAGAGTAAGAAAGATCAGTTCCATATCCAGCCACGCTGAAGCTTCACCGTTCTTGACAACTATACAACCAGAAAGAGAAGTAAGAATATATGAGAACACGGACACAGAACTCCAAATCGATCATCCGAACACCTAAGCTGGTTGAAAAACTGATAAAAAAACCATGATATACACTCTAATTTACGTATCGACTCCGGTCAAAAGAGATCCTCCCGCCTCCGAAACTGCGCCACCGGCCCTTCCACCGCCGCAACCACCCACCCCATCATCTCATACTCAGAATCCGTCTTGCCGTGATTCGGAGAGGAAGTCGAAGCCGCCGGCGCCGCCGCTAACCGAACATCATACCGCCAGAGCAGCCGCGCCACGGCGAGATGGAGCTCCGTGTAGGCCAGGCGCCAGCCGACGCAGGAGCGGGTCCCGTAGCTGAAGGGGCAGAAGGCCTGATAGGCCTGGGTTTGTTTGGTGGTTGTCGCGGCGGATGTTCCCTGCTGCTGCTGTTCCTCTGCGGTTGAAGGACCAGAAGCCGTCGGAGACCTGCTGCTGCTGCTGCTGTAGGAGGGATCCAACCACCGCTCCGGCCGGAACTCATCCGGACGGTCGAAGTAGGCCTCGTTGCGGTGGAGGGTGTAGATCGGGGCGCCGACGATGGTGCCGGCGGGAATGAAGTCGCCGTCGATGTAGATGCCGCCGGGGCAGACGGCGCGCGGGGGCGCGTTGGGCACGGAGGGGGCGAGGCGCATGGCTTCGTTGACGCAGGCGTGCAGGTACGGGCTGGTGGTCGGGGAGGCGGAGTCGAAGTTGATGCTGGTCTCGGTGGGGAAGGTCGAGCGGATTTCCGTGATTAGTGGCCCTAAAATGGTGAGGTGGTGCAGGAGGTAGTGGATTGTTGCGCTGAGGGCGTTGGAGGTCGTGTCGGAGCCTTTGGGTTCGGGTCAGATTGGGTTGCTTTCTGGGGTTATGGGGGATTCGGGGGCAATGATGAGGGGTTAGGTAGGGCTTTGGGATGGGGTGTTGCTGTACCTGCTACCAGTAGAAGCATGGATTCAACCCAGAGGTCTTTCTGAGTGAAGTTCCGGCCGGTTTTCGGATCCGTCGCGTTCAGCATCACGCTGAAGATGTCCTTCTCGATGTTCTTGTTGCCCAGTTTGGCGCGGGCTTCGCCGCGTTCGCGGATCCAGCTGCCCGCACGGAGGATGTCTTTGTACTGAGAGGCGAGGAGGAAGTGGTCGAGCTTGAGTTGGATGAATCTGGGCTGGATGAGGCTCTTTTTGTGCGAAGAGCGATTAGTATTCCTTCTTCGTTGCTTGTTTGTCGTTGCTGCTACTCACCATCATGCCCCGTTGGCTGATCTTGCGGAATACAGACGGAAACCATCGCATGTCTTCCACCTGCAACAGGTTGAGATCCTCCCCGTAGCAGAGGTCGGCAATGATGTCGAAGGTCATCCAGGTGCACGCCTGCGCGACATCCTTGGGCGGACCCCATCCCCGCGAGGCCTCTGAATCCGAACCCAGCAGCGAAACAAAGTCCGTGACATTGTCCAGGATGCGCTCCTCCATCTGCTTCAAGTTCTGCTCGGAAAATACCTGGGCCATGATCCGTCGCTTGAAGCCGTGCAGCCCCTTGTCTATGGCAACTAAGCTATTCGGACAGCGACGACTGAGACCCAGCGCAGCATATCCGTCTGTCTTGCGAACGTTGGCCCGGACACCATAGATTTCAGTCATAGCCGTGGCCGAGTTGAAGCTGAGGGTTGAAGGCCCATAGCGGACGACCTTCCCTGTGCAAAAGTCAGCTTTCGGCCAGGCACGTCAGGCAAACGGGCTCACCATATCTTGCATGCCATTGTTGTACTTGTATGTGTAGATCGCCTCGCCAGGCATAATATAGCACATACCAGTCTGTCAAGATAGCTAATCGGGGACCGGGGTATCTGGATAGAGGATGGAGGAAGAGCCGATAGAATGCCAAAGCACAACCCTGAGCTGGTTAGCTTGTGTTTGTTGAGCTGCGGCGGGCTTGAAAGTGACGCACGTAGACAAGAAATGCGACAGTTGCAGCTGCAAATAGATGTAAGCTCATTCTGAATCTGTCTCTCTGGTTCTCTTGGCTGCTGAATGTCCGTTTGTTCAGTCCTAGGTCGATGGCGGTGCGGACAAACTAATATTCTACAACGGCGGTACTTCACGAGAAGAGAACTGGCTGATCCCCTCGCATTGACATAATGACGGTGCAGGACATGATGCAGTCGACATGGCGTTTTTGGTGACCCGTGTATGTGGGTTCGGCCAGATATATCGAGTCAGTGTGGAAGGCCCTTGTCTTCCATCGCTGCAATGATCTGCGTGGGAGGGAGGTTCGAGATCCGCCGAAGAGCCCCACGCATAAGATCCGGTTCTTTCACTCTTTGATCATAAGGTATATACAGCTCTCATTTGCTCAGGGTCGGATGGAAAAGACCCTTCGTCATGCGCTGTGGAGTCGATGGATCACCAGCGGCCATTGTCCGTGACGGGGTAGCAAGCGTCTTCTTTGCGTCACATCTCTCAACCACAACCCAACAACTATTGTGCATGAGTAGGAGTATTTGCTTATATGCAATTATCCCGCACTTACCATCTCTTACACCGGAGAGAATTCCATGTTGTCTAATTGTTGCCAGCCTGTCAGTGCTGCAAGATGGGTGTAGTGTATCAAATCAAGTGCGGCGGAAACTGACTCGATCGCCAAGATGATCGACGGGGACAGATCTCGAGATGAGTTCGCAATGAGATCAATTGGATCCACGAGATGATCGGCGCGACGCAATTACTGCTTCAGGCAAATGTTTGCTCCCGATGGGTGTCTTTTTGTGATATCACTTCTGACATTCTCGATGCTGACAATCGCCACGGTGGACCGGTCATGAGCCGTGTCTTAGGCTATGACACGCAATGCGCCTGCACTTTCCACAACAAAAGTCTGTAGGAAGCAAGACTCCCAGGTGATAGAGTCTCGCTACAAACGCACAATATCGAAGTTCTCCCTGTGACTTAGTAGTCCAGCATCTCAAGATGGCGTTCCCCTATACCGTGACGGAACATGTTATCGATAGTCAATACATCCGAGAGTATCCCAGGGCGACGACCACGCAGGATGCCCCTCTGAAGCTTTGCGTGAAGAAGTATACGCCCATCGATAACCCCCATCCCGAGCCGGGCGATGTCACCATCATTGCTGCACATGGCACAGCATTCGCGAAGGTAGGTGGAAAGAGCTATAGGCAGCCAGCCAGCCAGCCTTAAGCCTCGCACTCATTATCGTCCAGGAACTATACGAGCCGCTCTGGGAAGATCTCCACGCCAGAAGCAAGAAAGAGGGATTCCGAATTCGCGCGATCTGGATCGCTGATAGCGCCAACCAGGGTGCTAGCGGTATCCTCAATGAGAATCATTTGGGCAATGACCGTAAGCCCCAGCTCACGACGTCCTCCTTATGGAAAGCTTTAAAGCTAACAGCAACAGCATCATGGCTTGATCACAGCCGCGATCTTCTCTTGATGATCAATCAGTTTCGCGACCAGATGCCCCGACCCATCATGGGTCTAGGGCACAGCGTGGGTGGAGCTCAAATGTTGGTTACCCTCACTCCTTCGTCCTCAATGAGCGCGAGCCAGTGCGCAAGTGAAGGCCACTGACGGTTCGCAGGATCTTTCTATCGCTGATCCACCCCCGACTGTTCTCATCCCTCATGCTCGTCGAGCCATATTTCGTCGAGCGCACGCTCCAAGGGAGCGGCCCTCTCCTCCTCCGTCTGACCATCAACAAGCGTGACGTCTGGCCGTCCCGGGCCGTCGCCGTAGAAAAGTCACGCAAGGCCCTTCGATTCTGGGACCCGCGGGTGCTGGATCGCTGGGCTCGGTTCGCATACCGTGAACTCCCGTCAGCTGTATACCCACAGGAAGATGCGACACAATCATCGTCCTCGTCATCAGAGGCAGGGCCGGCCGTGACCCTGGCAACGACCAAGTACCAAGAGGCGCTGATGTACACGCGGGCCAACCCGCGTCGATACAGAGAGCTGGGCTTGCCCGATGAGCTGAATCAGAAGCACGAGCACGAAGAGCCTAGTCCGCCGCACGACCCGCTACTCTTCCCCGACGTGCTGGGGGCGCTGGTGCCGGAGCAGAACTCCTACCGGCCAGAATCGGTCCTGGCGGGGAGGCTGGTACCGCACTTACGACCATCGGTCCTTCTCTTAAGTGGAGCTGAGAGTCCACTGTGCAAGCTGGGGATCCATGAGCGGATCGCCAAGAAGGTGGGGACTGGGTTCGGAGGGAGTGGTGGCATGGAGTATGGTCGAGTGAGGCATCACTTAGTTCCGAAGGCGGCACATACTCTGCCTTTGGAGAAAGTGACCGCTACGGCAGATGCCCTTGGGCCGTGGATCCAGCAGGAGGTGCGGCGGTGGAAGGAGGATGAGCAGCGCATCGCACAAGGGTGGAATGAATTACCTGCAAGGGAGAAGTCCATGTATTCCAACGAGTGGAAGGAGATGATCGGTTCGGCCTCCAACCGAATCATCGAGAGACGGTCCAAGTTGTGATTACTACCTAGCTGGGGTCACATGGCAGCACCACCATGTGTATTGTAGGAACGCTTCCTTGAATTTTCGGTGATTGTTGTTTGTAGCTAGCTGCCAGTGAGTTATCTGCATGTAACTGGCTTGATGGCTTGCTGGATCATGTGGCCCCCTTATCAGCTACGCCAACGTAGATAACATGACATCGTCGGTTACGAAGCATGCATTTGAAATTATGAACATCGTAGATTTTTGTTGGATTACTCGTCATAATACACCACTTTGGACCTATATTATTTCCATTTCTACTACCGCCTGTCTGCGTTTACCGCGACAAGGCAATATCATCAATACGCATGATCATCTTCACCGTCTCGGCAGCCAGCTCAATTGCGCTGGTGCTTACCAAGAGGGGCTGAAGAATGTTCTCCTCGGTGATGTCGTCCTTGACACCACCGCTGCGAATGCTGACTCCGGCATTGTGCTGGCCTTGAGCGTGGCGGTGACGCAGGTCGGTGACCACCTTGATCGAGTTCAGACCGGCATTCTCGGCCAGGGTGGTGGGGATAACCTCCATGGCTTCGGCGAAAGCCTTCCAGCAAATAGCCTCGGTGCCAGTGAGCTCACGAGCACGCATGGCCAGAGAGTGGGCCACTTCGATCTCAGGGGCACCACCACCGGCAATAAGAGCACGCTTCTTCACCAGACAGCGGATGACACAGAGGGCATCGTGCAGAGAGCGCTCAGCCTCATCCAGGATAAGGTTGTTGGCGCCACGAGCCACGATGGAGACGGTCTGGTTGGCGGCGGTAGCAGGGGCCTTGATGCCAGTGATCTTCACGTACCGGGCACCAGACTGCTGGACCTCCTCAACAAGATCAGCAGTACCGAGCTTGTCCTCAGTGAAGGAGTCAACGTTGGCTACGGGCTTGCAGCCCAGAGTCTTGCACAAGAACTCAACCTCATCACGCTCAATATCCTTGATGGCCAAGATCTTGAGGCGGGAAAGGAAATGAAGGGAAAGGTCGTTGACAGCGTCACGGAGGATCGACTTCTGGATCAAAAGAACATTGCACTTCGTCTTCTGGATTTTCTTAACCATGTTGAGAAGGTATTGGCGCTCTTCCTTGAGGATCTTGTCCATCTGGCGGTAGTCGTTCACGACAATCTGGTTCTCCATCTGCAAGATTGCTGTCAGCACTCCCCATTAGTGCAGGTGTATGGGGTCACGTACGTCAGGCTTGGGAGGGCTGAGCTGGAACTGAATAAGACCTATCCGGGCCTTCTCAATTCTGGTGGGACCACCGCTGCTCTTGATGACTTGCTGGTTCAGGACCAGACCGTCAACCATCTCACTGTCCTCAATTGTTCCGCCAACCTTCTTCACTATGCGAATGTTCCGGAGATCGACGTTCTCTGCCGTCTTGGGGTCGACGATTTTCAGAACGGAATCGACGGCCATGGGGCCGAGGAGGCCGGAGTGCTGAGACACAATCTTGGAGGAGAGAGAGGTGGAAGCCGCCTGAAGGAGAGTTGAGCGGTCTGTGAGGTTGATAGGCCGGGACATGTTGTGGAGGATCTCGACGGCGGCGGCGGCGGCTCTTTGGAAGGACTCCGAGATGACGGTGGGATGGATGCCCTTGGCGAGCAGGCGCTCCGCAGCACCGAGCAAGCTTCCTGCAATGACGACAACCGATGTAGTTCCATCACCAGCTTCGACATCCTGAGCGGCACTGAGGTCGACCAGCATTCTGGCGGCGGGGTGCATGACGCTCATGTCCCTCAGCATTGTGTTTCCGTCGTTGGTCTAAGGAGGGGTTAGTGGGGGTAATCTGGGGGTATTCGAGGTAGTCTCCGTACGATAATGGTGTTTCCCTTGGGCGTTTGGATCTGAAGCTACGTTAGCTTTTGGTCTTTGTGAATTGATTCCATCCTTCTTACCATCTTATCCATACCCCTGGGACCCAGAGACTGCATATTGTGTTAGCCCCTCATCTGTCAAATTCGGGTCAAGTCAAGACAAGCGTACAGTTCTGATGGCATCGGAGACAGCTATTCTTCCGTCAGCAATTGCATACAAGTAAGACCTACCAGGAATGCATACCTCTAGCAGCCAAGATGTTGGCTGTGCGCACTGCCATAGGCTTCTCCTTGTCCTGTTCGGCGATTAGAGAACGGTCCACGAGTATTTCTCTCCGCAAAAAGACGCACCTTGAAAGTCGTGTTGCCAGGGGCACCCTGGGAGGCTGTCGTCGCCATGATGAAGATAACTACGATATAAGCACCGTAGAGAAAAGAGATAGAGTCAAGTAAGAGGAGGGTG